CCTTTATTGCTTCTATTTGGTACATTATTTTCCATCTGTTCGCAAACTAGCTTTTATTTGATTGTTTCTAACAACTGAGTAAGGGTTGCTAAGGAGGGGGGCTGGCCTCGTCTCCCACCAGAAGCTCTGTGGGGGCCCCTGGAAGAGTTCGCCATGGCTAGAGTCACTGCTGGCCCATCTGTCTCTGGCAGCCTGTGCTGCCTACCTGCTCCTGTTCAGCTAGGATCCTCATTAACCACCATACTCAAGCCCTGATCATTAGCAAGCATTAGTGATGACCAAGCTCTTTGTATCATGTGACCACAGCTGCCAGAAAGCCACAGGGGCTCTCAGGCAGCTAAGTTGGCATGCGTGCTGCCCTCATACACGTCCTCAGAACCAGTCAGGTACGACTATCTTAAGACGAGGAGTACTCGGGTTTTGTTTTCAGCCATGCAGGTTGAACATCTCTGAAATCTGAAATCCAAAATGCTCCCAAACCTCAACTTTTGATAGCCAACATGATGTCACGAGTAGAAAATGTCATACATGACCTCATGTGATAGATTTGACAGCTGTCAGAATGCTGCTGTACAAAAATATTATATAAAATGACCTCAGACTGTGTGTCTAAAATGTATAAGAAATGTAAATGAATTTTGTGTCTCGACTTGGGCCCCAGCCCCAAGATGTCTTATTTGTATATGTGAATATTCCAAAATCTGAAAAAAATCTGAAATCTGAAACGGTGGTAGTGCAAGCTTTCAGGTAAAGAATTCTCAAGCTGTATTCTATGTCAGCATCTATTATGAAAGGCAGTCAAGGGAGACGGGAGTAAGACCTTGCTAACAGTATCTTATTTAACACTTACATTGTGCTGTGAGGTAAGCACTGGCCCAAGCACTTTGCAGATATTAAAATTTATTCTGCCTGACTACCCTACTGTTACTACTGGTGCATATCCTCATTGTACTGAAGAGGAAACTAAAACTCAGAGAGGGTAAGGAATTTGCCAAGTGAGGACAGAGGAAGCAGTGGCATACAGGGTATGCTCCAGAGGCATTCGGGCTCCAGGTGCCCAACCATGGGTCCTTCTTGAACTGTACCCAAACCTACTTAAGTGTCACATCTTTTAGGGTCTATAAACATGTGTCATCCCTGCAGAGGTACACACACCATGGTACATGGTCCTGGTAGGAGCTGTCCATCCTTTGTCTAATAGCATTTACTTCAGTGGAGAAAAAACTGATATTCCTGTCCTAAAATTCCAAGTCGGCACAGGTCGGTGCTGCGTGGTGACCAGGATCACAGGCCTCTCACCCTCAGCCGTCAGGGTGCACCGCTCTCCTGCAGCAGGCCTGCCCTTTCCTTAATACCCTCCTCAGTCAGTGGGTCCTGTAGCTCAGACATATGGTGGCCCTGAGGGTCATGCTACAGCTTGACTTGCCAATATTGAGAGCAGCCACTCACTGTTCAGAGTGACCTGTCAGTGGGACAGATGTTTGGCTGTTCCTCTTCCCACCTGCCAGGGGGATTTAGACAGCTGCTCCTAAAGCCTTATCTTCACCCAGCACTTCCCAAAGTGTGCTCTGAAGGTTATTAATGGGTGCAGTTCTCTGTGGCACCCCTAAAAGAGAAAAGAAGGTTGATATATAAGTTCAACAAAATTAGATTGATTTACTTATTGCAAAGATTTTCAGAATCTTCTTGTGACTCTCCAGAGTAAGAGGTAAAATACAGAATTGCCTGAATGTCTTTATTCTCTCAAGTGGGAAGACGTGTCTATTAACATCTCTCAGGCAGGCCGCGTGAAGGAAAAGAGAGAGAAGAGAACTAGGGTCATAGGAGGCAACCAGATAGTGAGGGAAAATCAAGAAGCTGCACTTAGAATCCTTGAATTCCAGCCCATATTTAAACCAATAATCACTGGGACCTAGGAGCTCCTGATTTCTCATCTGTAAAATATGGAAGATAGAGTTGGATTTTCACTAAGCTCTTGTCATCTTCACAAGCTGGTAACTGTTTGTTTGTACCTCTCCTCGTTCCAGAAGGGCTTTCAGAATAAGACACACTATATAACACATCCAATAAAAGGTAGGTGGAGCTAAAATGAAGCATAAGAAATACAAGGTAGGAAAAATGGAGGAAGGAGCAAAATGAATTCCATAAATTTCTTCATGGCTGATAAT